CAAAAAAAAACCCGCCCCCCCAAAAAAAACAACAACAACAACACAACCCCAAACAAACAACAAAAAACAACCCCAAACAAACAGTCCCAAACGAACAAACAACCAAACAAGTAAACAAAGAACCCCCATCCACCTAAAAAAAAAGACTCAAAATAGTTTCCCCAATGGTAACAAAACAAAAAACTCTATCACACACGTCGTTTCCTGTAGTTGTGAGTGTCGCTGACAAAGCAAAAAGAGACAGCAGATAGAGGCCTGTGATAGTGCACACATTCTCACGATCCTGGCTACAGTATAGCATCTATAGACGTGCTTAGTGCGGTCCGGTTCCGCTCTCTGGTTATAATGAACACGCTGAATTCCCAACATTCCGCCTACCTCTTCATCTTCGGTGTCGCTAGCAATCCACTTAGTCACTTAGGTCCGTGTTTTGGGGTACTTTTAACCCCAGAGACAAAAAAAAAAACCCTCTAGTTTTTCTTTGTTTTTCATCTCAGAAATCATGTAAAGCGGGAAAATTATATGCCTTCACCGTAGCACGTAGCATTAATATTAAACTGCATTTTGGTGTTGTTGAAAGGTGCATCTTTGATAGAGTTTTTGGAGGGTGTAAAAATCGACAAATCTCAAAATTTGGACTAGCGTTGATTGCCTGCGACAGCCGCGCCATGCTCTTATAATTGTTTTTCCTGGTACAGCGTCGGTGCTAACTATACAGGACAGTCGAACCTGCTCTAACCACCACCTGTCCAAGACAATCACCTGTACAAACGACCACTTACTACTTCCTCCTTTGCTTCCCCCCCCCCCTCTATATTGCAATGACACCAAAGATTCTCTACTGCAATAGAGACACTCTACGACACTCACGACTGCAGGAAACGACTTGTGTGATAGAGCAGGGTAGTGTAGAATCTTTGATGACACTGTGGTGGCGTCTGTAGCCAAGTGGTTAGGCTACCGGACTCGTAATCGTGAGGCTGTGGGTTCAAGCCTAAGCTGGGTCCGACGGTGTGTCCGGAAAGGCACTTTACACGAATCTCCCCCTTGTCTGGGTCCTTTTGGAGATGGACGTTAAATTAGGAGGTCCCGCCTCTTAAATTATAACGTAACATAATAGGAGCCTTACACCTATATCAGCTCACCATTTTTTAATGACACTGTCCAAGAAAACCTTCTGTCTAAGATGGCCACTTTTCTCCTTGACCTTTGGTCGTGTGTTGGGCATGTTCGACTGCAGTTTGGTAGTTGGTCACTGGTACCAATAAGAAATTAAGACAGTCATTTTGCGCGCTGGGACCGTGTGTGCCATGTTTGAGTGTCCGTGGGCTTTTTAACACACACACACACTCACACACACGTACACTCACACATACACACACACACGTACACACATACACACGCACATGTGCACGCAAAGAGAGAGAGAGAGAGAGAGAG